ACCATCCGATAGCGGAGATCGGCCAAGATTGGCGTGCGTGGGTGTGTGGGTGTGTGGGTGTGTGTGGGTGTGGGTGTGGGTGTGTGGGTGTGTGGCTGCGTGTGGGGTGGGGATGTGTGGGTGTGTGGGAATGCGTGTGAGTGTGCGCGCGCGTGCGTGAGCGTGCGCGTGCGCGCGCGCGTGCCTGGTTCTAGCTGCCGCCGGCCTTCGACCCTGCCCGCGCCGGCGTCGCTTGCCGCGGTGGGCGCGGCGCGAACCTGCCGCGGGTTGAAAATTTCTGTGCGCTCAGGGAGGTCTCGGGAGGTGCCAGCTCCTACCCGTCCGAGAAGCGAACTCGACGGGTAGACCGAGAGTCCGAGAAGCGTCCGAGAAACAGATCCCGAGAAGGTTCCAAAGTCCCTGGCAGACGCTCGAGGAGGTCTCGGGAGGTGCCCAGAAAGGCATCCGGAGGCGTCCCGAGGCCTCAAGGGGTCGCCAGAGGCCCCAAGGGGTCGCCAGAGGCTCTTTCTTCATGTGCTTCTCTGGCAAGGACTGAAGTTGATCTTCATCTTCAGCTTCCTCGTTGGCTTGGTTTCCTTCGGGGGTGGCCACAGTCATCGTTATATCTTTGTGTGGCCCCACGAAGGCAGCGACAACAACAACTCGACCAAGCACCCACCCTCCCGCGGGAGCGCGGCGCGGGCGGGCGGACCTCCTCGTCGTCGTCCTCGTCCTCGGAGGTTCGTCGACGTCGTCGTCGTCAGCGGCGGCGCCGTCGTCGTAAAAGTCATCGTCGTAAAAGTCGCCGTCGTCGTCGCCGTAGAAGTCAACGTCGTAAAAGTCATCGAAGTCGTCGTCAAAGTCGACGTCGTCGTCGTCCAAGTTGTCGTCGTAAAAGTGGTCGTCGGCGGCGGCGTCGCCGTGGTAAAAGTCGCCGTCGTAAGAGTCGCCGTCGTCAAAGTCGTCGTCGTCGTCGTCGGCGGCGGCGTCGTCGGCGTCGTGAGAATCGTCGCCGTCGTCGTCTTCGACGCGGCGCGAACGTGCCATTGTCGGCGTCCTCCGAGCTCGCCGCCCGCGCCGGGGGTGAAACTGCTGGCGGCGCACGCCGCGCCGCCTTGCCCATCGGCAGAGGCGGCGGGCGTCGCCCCCCTGCCCGGGGCTGGCCGGGGCGGGGCGGGAAGCGAGGCGCGCGCCCGCGGGGGGGCCGCGGGGGAGCGGGCAGAGGTGGGCAGGAGGAGGGAGAGGAGGAAGAGGAAGGGACGGAGGAGAGGGATCGGAGCAGATGGGGTATGCGAAGATGAGACAGCGCCCCGGAGGGGTGGGGAGGAGAGCTCGCCCAGCACTGGGCAAAAGGAGGAGGAAGGCAAAGAGGAGGAGGAGGCAAGAAGGATGAGGAGGAAGATGAAGGGGAAGAGGAGGAGGAGAGGGAGATGGCAAAGATGAGGAGGAAGCGGAGGAGGGGGAGGGGATGAAGGAGGAGGATTTCTGAGGTTTTGAGGTCTCCAAGGTCTCTCGAGGTCTCCAGAGGTCTCTTGAGATCTCCAAGAGGTCTAAGGATCCCGAGGTCCGTAGAGGTCTCTGGAGGTCGTTCAAAGGCCTCCCGAGGCCTCCGGCGGTGTCTGGAGATGTCCAGGAGGCCAGCCGAGGCTCTCTGAGGCCGAGAAAACCAAAAATGCCCACCGCCCCCTCCCAAAAAAGAAGATCTTCAAATTAGCCTGGCGAAGGACCCAACCATATGCAGTTGTGAGAACCGTAGTTGTCAATATCGCCTTCGGTGGAGCTCCCTATGGGGCCACGAAACGTGTGAGGGGTGCGCCGAAATGAGGGGGGGGCATGCGGGCGGTGGCACTGGGGCCGTCGGTGGAGCTTCCTATGAGGCCACGAAATGTGTGAGGGATGTGCCGAAATGGGTGTCGTGGATGCATGCGGGCGGTTGCACTGGGGCATTCGGTGGAGCTCCCTATGGGGCCCCGAAACTTGCGAGGAGTGTGCCAACATGGGTGTGGGAGGACGCATGCGGGCTGCGCCACTGAGGCCTTTGGTGGAGCTCCCTGTGGGGCCACGAAACGCGTGAGGGTTGTGCCGAAACGGGGGTGTCGCCCACATGCGGGCTGCGCCACTGGGGCCTTTGCTAGAGCTTTCTCTGGGGCCACAAAAAGTGTGAGAGGTGTGCCGAAACGGGGGTGTCGCCCACATGCGGGCTGTACCACCGGGGCCTTCGGTGGAGCTCTCTCTGGGGCCACGAAATGTGTGAGGGGTTTGCCAAAACGGGGGTGTCGCCCACATGCGGGCTGCGCCACTGGGGCCTTTGGTGGAGTGGGGCCACGAAACGTGTGAGGGGTGTGCCGAAACGGGAGGGGGTGTCGCCCACATGCGGGCTGCGTCACTGGGGCCTTTGGTGGAGCTCCCTCTGAGACCACGAAACGTGTGAGGAGTGTGCCGAAAAGGGAGTGTCGCCCACATGCGGGCTGCGCCACTGGGGCCGTCGGTGGAGCTCCCTGTGGTGCCACGACGAAACGTTTGAGGAGTGTGCCGAAACGGATGTGTCGCCCACATGCAGGCTGCACCACTGGGGCCTTCAATGGAGCTTATGGGGCCACGAAATGTGTAAGGAGTGTGCCGAAACGGAAATGTCGCCCACATGCGGGCTGCGCCACTGGGGCCGTCGGTGGAGCTTTCTCTGGGGCCACGAAATGTTTGAGGGGTGTGCCGAAACGGGGGTGTTGCCCACATGCGGGCTGCGCCACTGGGGCCTTTGGTGGAGCTCCCTCTGGGGCCACGAAACGTGTGAGAGGTGTGCCGAAATGTGGGTGTCGCCCACATGCGGGCTGCGCCACTGGGGACTTTGGTGGAGCTCCCTCTGAGACCACGAAACGCGTGAGGGGTGTGCCGAAATTTGGGTGTCACCCACATGCGGGCTGCGCCACTGAGGCCTTTGGTGGAGCTCCCTATGGGGCCACGAAACGTGTGAGGGTGTTCCGAAACGGGTGTGTCGCCCGCATGCGGGCTGCGCCACTGGGGCCTTCAATGGAGCTCCCTGTGGGGCCACTAAACGTGTGAGGGGTGTGCCGAAACGGGGGTGTCGCCCACATGCGGGCTGCGCCACGGGGGCCTTAGGGTGGAGCTCCCTCTGTGGCCGCGAAACGTGCGAGGAGTGTGCCGAAACGGGGGCGACGATGCTGATGAGGACAGGGGGAGGAGGAAGGAAGGAGGGACACACGCGGGGACTGTCGCTTCCAAACGAGGACCCAACACCACAGGATAGTTGGGACAAAAAAACATCCCTCGAGGATCGAGGATCGAGGACCGAGGAGTGACGAGGATGGGAAGCGACCGCTTTTCGCACGCTCTCGGCTTTCGGAGGCCTTCGGCTGATACTGGAGACTGCCAGACATGTTCACGGGCCTCTGGAGATTTCCACAAGTGTCTGGACGAGGAGGGCGCGAGGGGGAAGAGGGGGAAGAGGGGGAAGAGGGGGAAGAGGGGGACCGAGGGAGCGGGGTGGAGGCCGAAACTCGCTGCGCATCCCCGTGGGCCCGGCTTCCCCGAACTGTCGCGCGCCCCTCCTGCGGTGCGCCCGTGTTGGATGCGCAGGGAGGGCGGAGGAAGAGGCGCCGAACGGGAAGCGACGGGGCGCCCAGCACTGGGGAGCGGTATGCGCCTACCAGGGCCGCCTGCCGCCGCACGGGCGCGACGTGCAAGGCGAGCCGCACAGGGAGGTCCTCCTCCTCCTCCTCCTCCTCCTCCTCCTCCTCCTCCTCCTCCTCCTCCTCGTCTTCCTCTTCGTCTACCTTCTCCTCCTCCTCCTCCTCCTCCTCCTCATCCTCCTCATCCTCCTCCTCCTCCTCCTCCTCCTCCTCCTCCTCCTCCTCCCTCTCCTACCTATGACAGTGGTGGAAATCGGCCCATCAGGTTGGGATCCTGCTGGAACTCGGAGGGTTGCGGTGTCAGCCACGAACGGCGCCGAACTCGGACTGTAGAGACGCCTTGGCGATCTGCTCCTGTGCAGACGAGCTTGCGATGCCAGGCCCGCAGGGGTCCAGAGGAAGCCTTGGGGGCCAGAGAGATCGAGGGGCGGGGACCTCACGGCAAGGTAAGACGAGGCCAGAACGAGGACTAAATCGGGCGAAGAGAACTCGAGAACCTCTCAGAACCAGCGGCTCTGGAGGATGTCTCGGGCGCCGCGGCCTTCTCAGAGCGTTCCGGAACGCTCTGAGAGCGTTCCGGAACGCTCGGGAACGGATTTCTCCTCGTCCTAGCCCCGCCTGACAAGAGGGGCAGGGTCGAGCGTTGCTTCCCAAGGTTCTCGTCGCGCCCTTGCGCCGCCCTTCTGGGGAAGGTGATGGGCCTGTTTCCACCACCACCACCACCACCATAAGTTGGAGGGGGAGGGGGTCCTCCTCCTCCTCCTCCTCCTCCTCCTCCTCCTCCTCGGACTCCCAGATCGAGTGGATCCCTGCGTCGTGGGGAGCGCCCCTTGTTCTCTGACTACCTACCTAATTAGACCCCTCGCGGTATGAAAAAACACGACGGGAAGTTTTTCTATGTTATCGGCCTCCGGAGGCTCTTCACTGGGCCTCGGAATCCCCCAAAAAACGACTCAGGATGAAAAACTGGTCCCGGGGAAGGGGTCCAGACTTCTGGGGGTAGACGTTGTGCAAAAAAACACGATGTCTGGGGTCTAGGTACCTAGACCACCCCAACCTAACCCGAAGATCCCAGTTTCGGCTTGGGGGGGTACAGGCTCCACATGTGTTTTTCCGAAGTTCCCCGACGCCCCCCACCCCCGCACCGGGAATGAACAGCAGATTGGGGCCTTCGGGTTGGGTTGGGGTGGTTTGGTGGGCGCTGATTCTCGTCGGCTGGCGAGCATCTGCATTGCGGACAGTGGCGCATGCGGCCGCCAAGCTCAAAGGGGGGGGCAGTCCTGCTGGAGGAGGACGCAGCTAATCACATCCTACAGTAGGGGCGCACATGCTTCAGCCGCTCACCGCGCTGGAAGACGCGACAAATGTGCACTGTCAGAAACCGGCACCTCGATTCGCGGAATGCAGTCCCTTCTGGAGCGCATTGGTGTACTGGTTCATTGCCTGCACAATCTCGTCGTCGGTCTGCTCTCTTGCCTGCGCGGCAACCGCGAGAGTGTTCTTCATGCCGGCGATCTCCTCAAGAATGAAGGTGCGAAACTTCTCGGTGCGACTGTCGCTCACCTCCTCCGTGCGCGCAAGATTGTCAATCTCGGTCTTAAGCTGGTCGGCTGCGGCACGGTATGCGTCCATCCCCTGGTCGAACTGCGCGCTCTCGTGGGTCTCCATCTCGGCGAGTCGTCTCAGCAGGGCGGTGTCGCGCTCTACCCGGGCCTTCCTGTCCGCCTCCGTGTGCCCCCGGAGCTCGGTGATCTCCTCGGAGGGAAAGGAACAATGCTTCACGGGAGCGGGAAGCGCGTGAGATCGAAGAGCTTGGCAAGAGCACGCACCAGAACAACGATCAACTGTAGCGCAAGCACTTCCCCCGAACGTCCACAAAAGATACCAGGTGGAGCTCACTACCCACGCGAGGTCAGACGTGGCGCAGGACTTGCACGGGTAGTAAATCGCTCATGGTTGTGGTCCTGATCCCCTGCGGCACGTCGTCCTCATGCTGCCCTTCGTCCTCGTTCTCACCGACATCATCATCATCATCATCATCATCATCATCATCATCATCATCATCATCATCATCATCATCACCATCACCATCACCATCACCATCACCATCACCATCACCATCACCATCACCATCACCATCACCATCACCATCATCATCATCATCATCATCATCATCATCATCATCATCATCATCATCAACGACCACTGCAACAGCATCAACAGCATCATCAGTACCATCATCAGTATCAGAATCATCATCATCATCATCATCATCATTATCAATACTCTCACTGTCATCATCACCACGAAGTTCACTACCCACGCGAGGTCAGACGTAGCGCTGGACTTGCACGGGTAGTAAATCGCTCCTGGCAGTGGTCCTGATCCCCTGCGGAATTTCGTCCTCATGCTGCTCTTCGTCCTCATCCTCACCGACATCGTCGTCATCAACAGCAGCATCATCATCAACATCATCATAAGCACCATCATGACCATCATCAACATCATCATCGCAAACAACATCATCATCATCATCATCATCATCATCATCATCATCATCATCATCATCATCATCATCACCATCACCATCACCATCACCATCACCATCACCATCACCATCACCATCACCATCACCACCATAATCATCATCATTATCATTATCATTATCATTATCATTTTCATCATCAGAAAAACGAAGACTTCTTCCGCGACGACTTCTTTCGCGACAATCTCTTCTGGAAAAACTTGCTTCCTGAAGAAATCGTCTGGAAGAAGTGGTCCGGAATAAGCGGTCCGGAATAGGTGGTCGCGGAAGAAATCGTTTTCGAACGAAAAAGTCCGGAAGGATTGGTCCGGAAGAACTCGTCCAAATAAGATCGTCGAGACAGAGCTTCTTCTCGAGAGATATCGGTGCGGCGGAGACGGAGGAGGAGGGATAGGAGAAGGATAACAAAGAAGCCGTTCGGAAGAAGGCGTTCGGAATCAAATGTTCGGAAGAAGTGGCCTGGAAGATAACATCCAGAAAAAATCGTCTCGGAATAAGTCGTCCAGAATAAATCGTCCCGAAGAAATCATGCAGAAAAAGTCGTCCGGAAAGAAACGTCTGGAAAAAAATCGTCTGGAAGAAGTCGTTCGGAAAAAGTCGTCCGGAAGAAGTCGTTCAGAAGAAAACGTTGGGAAGAAGTCGTCTGGAAGAGGTCGACTGGAAGAAGCGTTCTGGAAGAATTTCGCATGGCGCAGCGTACATATTTCGGCGCATCCCTCAAACTTTTCGAGGCCCCAGTGGAGGCTCCACCGAAGGCCTTCGTGGCAGGGCTCGCATGGTGTACCGCTCCGCTCTTATTTCGGCACACCCCTCACATGTTCGTGGCCTCGTAGGGCGCTCCGCCAATGGCCCCAGTGGCAGGGTTCGCATGGCGCCACCGCGCCCATGTCGGCACACCTCTCACACGGTTCGTGGCCCCATGGCAGGCTCCACCCAAAGCCCCCCTGGCGGGGTTCGCATGGCGCCACCGCACCCATGTCGGCACACCCATCACACGTTCTGTGGCCCCATTGGGAGCTCCACCGAAGGCCCCAGTGGCAGGGTTCGCATGTTTCGCAAGGTTCGCATGGCGCCACCGCTCTCCTGTCGGCACACCCCTGACACGTTTCGTGGGCCTCTGGGGAGCTCCGCCGAAGGCATGTGGCAGGGTTCGCTCGGCGCCACCGAACTCATGTCGGCACACCACTCACAGGTTTCGTGGCCCCATGTAGGGAGCTCCGCCGAAGGCTCCACTGGAGGAGGGCGGGAGGCGCGGGGAGGAGAGGGGCACTGGCGCGGAGACGGGCAGCGCGTCCCTCGTGCGTTGGAGGGAAAGATTTAATGGAGCCTGGCGTAAAGATGTGCGCCGAAAAACCCAGTCCCCGCCTCATTCCGCGGACGCACGAAGAAAAACCGGAAGACGAAGAATTCTTCCGCGACGACTTCTTCCGGAAAAAGTCGCCCAGAAAAAGCGGTCCGGAAAAAGTGGTCTGGATGAAGTCGTCGCGGAAGAAATCAAATTCGGAAGAGATGGTCCGGAAAAAAACGTCCGGAAGAAGTCGACCGGAAAAGGTAGGCGACAAAAATATTGCTCTCAGACAACATCGGCGCGGAGGAGATGGAGGAGGAAGAGGAAGAGGAGGAAATGGACGAGGACATCGACGAATACGAAGAGGACGAGGAAGACGAGGAGGAGGGGGAGGAGAGGGGGAACGCAGAAGAAAGCCGAATAGTAGGAGAAAGAAGACTAACAACAGGAGAAAGTTGCGGCCCCGAAGAGATCGCCCTGAAGAAGTCGCCTCGGAAGATGTCGCCTCGGAAGAAATCGCCCGGGTGAACTCGCCCCGGAGAAATGGTCTGGAAGAAATCGTCTGGAAAAAATCGCCTGGAAACAATCGCCCAGAAGGCGTCGTTCGGAAAAAAACGCCTGGCATGAAATGCTTCAGCAAAAAAGCGCTCCCGAACAAAATCGGTCGGAAAACGCTCGCCGGGAGAAGTCGCCCAAAAGGTCAACGAAATTACCCGGAAGAAATTGCCCGGAGAAGGTTGCCCCAGAAGAAAGCCGCTCGGAAGAATTGGCCCGGAAGGAGTCGCCCGGAAGAAATCGCTAAGAAACAATCGCCCAAAAGGCGTCGTTCGGACAAAATCGCGCGGCGTAAACTTCTTCGGGGAAAAACCGCTCCCGGGCGAAATCGGTCGGAAGACGCCCGCCGGGACGAGTCGCCCGGAAGGTCAACGGAAGTACCCGGGAGACATTGCCCAGAAAAGGTCGCCCCACAAGAAATCGCCTGGAAGAAATGGCATCGGGTGAAATCGTTCGGACAAAGTCGCTTCTCAGATTATCAGGGGTCGCCCTTGTCTCTGGGACCGTTAACGAGCGGATCGGGATGAAGCGGGAAGGGGCCCAAACTTCTGGGGGGTATTTACTCGACGCGTATTCTGGAGAGGCTTGCGCGGCGGTTCTGGAGATGGAGGAGGGCGAGGATGAGGAGGATCTGCCCGTGCCCAATGAGAATCATCCTCGTCGAGCGCCGTTCTGTCGCCGCTGATGGCGCGGAGGAGGAGGAGAGGGAGGCCAGAGGAAGAACGGGCGCCGATGCCTCTGCCTGCCCTTCGCAGCTGCGGCCGGCGTTGCCCCAAGATTGCCGGTCAGGACGCGCCTTGCGAGATGTCGACCGTGGGTCTGGGGTCACCGCACCTTCTGCGTCTTTCCTAGGAGGAGGAGGCGGAGGAGGAGGAGGAGGAGGCGGAGAAGGAGGAGGAGAAGGAAGAGGAGGAGGAGGACGATGACGATGACGATGACGATGACGATGACGATGACGAGGACGAGGACGAGGACGAGGACAAGGAGGAGGAGGACGAGGACGAGAACGAGGAGGAGGAGGAGGGGGAGGAGGAGGAGGAGGAGGAGGAGGAGGAGGAGGCGGAGGAGAGGAGGAGGAGGAGGGGAGGGGGAGGAGGAGGAGGAGGAGGAGGAGGAGGAGGAGGAGGAGGAGGAGGAGGAGGAGGAGGAGGAGGAGGAACCGCGGCAGAAGCAGCAGCAGCACGTATCCTTCACGAGGGCCGCCGTGTCCACCTGCAGCTTCGAGGGCAACTCGCCACGGAACTGCGATATGCCCCTCTCCAGGGTGGTGCAGCGCAGCGTGAGCGACTCGATCGATGAGGCGAGCTTCTCGATGCGCACGATGATACCTGCCTGCAGCCGCTCCAGCATGTCATTGGCCTGGAATAAGCAAGCAACAAATATGAACGTGAACACTCTCAGGTCCAACCAGGTCTCTTCGATCGGCGCTCGGCCCGCTGGCGCGAGAGGCGCCGCTGGGGAGGGTGGTCCAGCGCCGACCAAGGAAACCCGCGCAGACCTGGAACAGTGTGTGCTTACGGCATGATTTGTTCGTCGACGGCCAGCGTCTCGGTCAAACCCTGCACCTGCTTGTTGGCCTCAACACGCCGCTTGATCTCCGAATTCAGGGCCCTCTCCAGTTTCATGACTCCCTCTTGCGCCGCCTTTGTCTTCCCTCTCTCGGCATCCCGCCGCTTCAGAGTATCGCCCTTAACGACCTGCTCGAAACCCACGAATCTTTGGCCGACATCCCTCAGCTTGCTCTGAAGTCTGTCGCGCTCCTTGTCTGATGCTGTCGCACTGGGCCGTGACGAATCAAACGTGAGAGGCTGGAAACTATCGGCGTGGGCGGCCCGCGCGCTCAGCGCCGCCATGCGTGCAGCGGTCGCCCTGGCCAGAGCTGCGCACCGCTGCGGCCCACGCTCCGACCCGAGCCGTAGCAAGGCTGGAAGCTCAAAGGCTTGAGCTAGATGATAATGCGGCGCACTAGGCACTTGCCAGAGCCCCCGTTCTTACAGCAGGCCAAAAGCACAACCATCGCTTCAGACGTTGCAGCTGCTTCCCATCCGTCTCCCCATCCGTCTCCCGTTTCCCCTTCCCTCTTCTCCTCTCCCTCCTCCTGCTCCTCCCACTCCCTGTCGTGCCCAAGGGGTGCGCCGGCAGACAGCATGTGCGATCCTATCCTCCTACTTCTCATTCCCCTCCCCCTCCTCCTTCCGTCGCCGCCGACGACGACGGCGGCGGCGACGGCGGCGACGACGACAACGGCGGCGGCGGCAACGAGGACGACGACGACGAGGACGGCAACGGCGACGGCGACGGCGAGGACGACGAGGGTGGCAACGGCGGTGACGGCGGCGAGAGCGACCAGGAATGAGGTCCTGGAGGTCAGCATCAACACCAACACAGGGGGTGGCCGCTACCAGGGGAAGATGATCCTGGATGTCGGCGTCGGTGATAATCTCTCGACCATCTGTGAATCCGAAATCTTACCACCATCACCAAGAGCAGGATAATCTTCCGTGGAGCCAGCCGCTGACACCGGTGTTGGTGCCAACCCCTGAACGTCGCTCCTCCTCCTCCTCCTTCTGCTCTTCCTCCTCCTCTTATTGTTACTACGTTTATAATTCGTATGATTCATTATATTGTTATTTTTAATATCATCACCAGTATGAGTATTATCATCGTATGGCTAGTATTACATGTCTGACTATTCTTAATACTATTACTCTCAGTATTGTTCATAGTATTACAATTGATAATTATCATTGATTGTTACTGTTACTAGTTTGATTAGTAATAGTATTGTTATTAATACTAGTATTAATGCGTTATGTTTCTTCTTATTATTTGTACTCCTCCTCCTCATCCTCCTCCTCCTCCTCCTCCTCCTCCTCCTTCTCGGCGGCGGCGACGCGGCGGCGGCGAACACGGCGGGGCGCAGGCGGGGTGCGCGTCATGATGTGCAGCCATTTGGCTGTTTCCACCGCGCCCTGCGCCTCCGGCGGGCGTCGCGCACTGGTGGCCCCGCCAACCCGACCTTCCTCCCGGAGGGGGAGGCGGAGGAGGAGGAGGAGGAGGAGGAGGAGGAGGAGGAGGAGATGATGGGGAGGAGGTGAGAAGGATGAGGTAAGCAGCAAAGATACAAGGACCTAGAGGAGGAGATAGAGAAGGAGAAGAAGGAGAAGAAGGAGGAGGAGGAGGAGGAAGAAGAAAAGGACGAATAGAAAGGCGGAAAAGAAAAAGAGGAAGAGAACGAAGAGGAGGAGGAGGGAGCAGGGAGGGAGGGAGGGAGGAGGGAGGAGGGACGAGGAGGGAGGAGGGGAGGGAAAAGAGGAGGGAGGGGACGGAGGCGGGAGGGGAAGGGGGAAGGAGAAAAGAGGAGCAGGTGCAGGCGGAGCACGAGGAGTAGAGCGGAAGAGCAATTCGGGGAGGAGGAGGAGGAGGAGGAGGAGGAGGAGGAGGAGGAGGAGGAGGCGACGGTGACGGTGACGGGGGTGGTGCCCGCACGAGTGTCCACGCCAGGGGGCTGATCGCGGTGAAGGGCGCCCAAATGCGAGGAATAGGATACGGCTGAAGAAATAGCGGGCCAGCACAAGTTCGTTCCGCGTTGGGGCTCGGGCCAAGTCAGACCAGGTGAAGGGGAGAGAGGGTAAGCAGGGAGGGACGGGGAGCAGGACCTAAGAAAGTGGACCAAGGATGCAACAACGATGCTGCCATGTGGTCTTTTGTTATTCGTTGTTTTGCCGATCGGCGCGGGCCCTCGCACACCCCCCCCACCACCCCTGAAGTAGTTCTTGGCTGTTTTTGGCGCCTGGTTCGAGCAGGTGGAGCCTCCCCCATAATGGACGCACTGCTGCAAACAGTCGCACTAGACAGAGGGCCGGAGACAGACCCCCCACCTCCCCCCCCTTCCTCCCAATGTCGAAACGCCGAACAAAAAAGGCTTACCATACTCTGCTCCTCTCCTCCTCCTCCTCCTCCTCCTCCTCCTCCTCCTCCTCCTCCTCCTCCTCCTCCTCTCCTCCTCCTCCTCTTCCTCGTCCTCCTCCTCCTCCTCCTCCTCCTCCTCCTCATCTCCTCCTCCTCCTCCTCCTCCTCCTCCTCCTCCTCCTCCCTCCTCCTCCTCCTCCTCCTGCCTCCTCCTCCTGCTCCTCCTCCTCCTCCTCCTCCTTTCCCTCCTCGTCCTCCTCCTCCGCCTCCTCCTCCTGCGGCACTGCGGGCAAAGCGGCCCTTCTCCGCCGAAGCCCGCGCCGCGCCCGCGCCCGCCGCGCGCGGCGCGACGCACGACCCCCTTCCTCAGAGATCCTCTGGAAGGGGGCCCCAAAGAGCCTCAGGGATCCCGGGCACCCCGCAGCCAGGAAAGGGAGATGCCTCGAGGGCCTGGGAGAAAGGAACGCGGGGCCCCGAAAACCCAATTCCAACAGGGCGACGGAGCGACGCGAGGAGGGGGGGGCGGAACCGAGGGCCAGAGGCGAGGACGAAGCGAGAGGGAGGGGCCTCCTGGGCGATCGAAGGGGAGGGCGACCGAAGTCGAATGCCAGCGGCCGCCGCCCATCGTCACACCTGAATATTCACCTCCTCCCCATCGCCCCGCGAGGGGACGTTCTGGATGGTGTAGTTCGGCCGCTTGTGGGCGCTCACTCCGTCCGCGTGGGGGTAGCTCATCTGCCTGTTCTTGTGCCCCTGTTACGGGCGGGACGTCCTGGTTACCGTCATTGTGCCGATCCTGTGCTTGTCGTGGTACCGTCGTATTGCCGTGCATGGTGATCAGCCTCCGGTGCTCGTCTGGGTTGCCGCCATACTGCAAATCCTGAGCTTGCCGTGACGCGTCCGCCGCTCGTTGGATGGTCTCGCCGATGATGTCCCCGATCTCATTGTAGCAGGTCGCGTGTCCGTCGTTCAACACAGCCGTGTAGTTGTCACTGATATTTGCGTGCGGGTGCCCTCTTAGCATCTGGCGCTCGTGTATCTTCAGGTATCGAACCGCCTTATCAAGTACGATGACGGGCGTTGCTGCTTCCAGCATGGTGAACGTAGCCGAGATCATGTTGTACATGTTGTGGTTGTCCCGAGTGACGTTGCGCTGCTGTTGTGTGTTGGGTTGCTGGTGACCCCATGGCTGGTTCGGTGTGCGGCATCGGTTGTCGGCTTGGAATGACTCAAGGTTGGTATCGATGATATGGAGAGCAACGCGCCCGTTCAACATCTGCTCGTGAGCGCATTTGTACATGTCGTCGTAGGTCTCGCTGCCTGGTCGGATGATGTGTCTCGGTGCTGGCATCTTGCAGGGTCACGCGCTGCTGGATGGTGCCAGGGAGTTCCCGTGTGGCGCTGGTGCTAGCGGTCGTGATCAGGATGATCGTTGGTGGTGTCCTGCTGCGTGTCCTGCTGCGTATGTTCGTCGCGGTGCAGGTCTCGTCGCGGTTGTGGTTGGTGTTCTGTTGGCTGCCGCGTGGGATCCGCGTCGGGATCGGGACGCCGGGGTCGGGGTCGTTGATGATGGGCCCGATTGGCGGTCCGTGGAGCTGAAGTGGCGGTTGCCCAGCGAAATCTTCAGGGAGGCCAGCATGTCGATTGTTGCGTCTGATGCGCCGTACTTCCTCTTCGTTGGCTCCCACCTCGTCGGGCTTGGCTCTGAAACTGCTGGCGCGCCAAGAGGCCGAGCAAATTGCTGAAGCTTTGACGTGCTCGATGAGCCCGTTGGCGGCGTGGTAATACTTCATGCAGATCTGGCAGGTCTCACCGCTGACGACGTTGCTGATGTCGTTATCGCTTTTGTGGTTCGTGTGCACATGCTTGTTGCGGGCTGCTCTCTGATTGAAGCTCCCCCCGCACTGGTAGCACATAAGTAATTCGCGGTCAAGTTCTTCGCGCGCGTCGTCACCCTGGCATGGCGGCGATGGCAGTAGCCCAAGTGACGCCGCAGAGGTCGCGGCAATTGCCCGCCAAGTGTCGCGTCTAGTCTGCTCCATTTTCCGGTCGTTCGCGCGTTAGTGGGCGTGGGAAAGGGTGGACAGGAGGTAGCTGAAGCCGTTCCTGGCCATGCTGACGAGCTCCGCGATGTCTTTGGGTGCTCTTCCGCCGACTGTAGCCGCAGCGGCGGCAGCAGCGTTGGGGGTCGTCGTTGATTGCCGCCGTTCAAGCCCCGCTTCGCTCCATATCGTAGTCTGCTCGAGCGTGAAATTATGGTGGGCGTTGCCGTGCGATTCGCATCACTTGTCGCCCTCGAAGTCGTCGCAGCCGATCTTGTAGCGTCGGGGGCCCAGCTTTCTCGAGGGCCTGGTCGTTGGTGATGCGAATGGTGCGCATCTGGTCGCGGGTGATGCCGATGGCCTGTCTGGCTGGTAATACGCATGCTGCCGTCAGTCGGTTCGTGTCTCGTTGTTTGCTGATGCTCCAGGTGCCTGCGTTGAATAGAACCTTCGAGTATCCAAACGCTTCGAGGTAGCGTGTATCTTGGCTTTGGTGGTGACTGCTCGTCTTTCGAATAGCGTCTTCCGAACAGGTCCCGTTGTCTGCCGTAGTGCGATGGTCCGTGCTGCTACTTCCTGCCCGAGGTCGTTCCTGTCGTTGAACATCGCTCCAAGTAGCATGGTGCTCCTGGTGATGGTGACCGTGAAACCCATGTCGGAGATGCCGCGGCCCTCTTGGATCACGGTGCGCGCGACGCGCTTTCCCACGACGGCGCCGGGGTAGACGATGAAATTTGACTTCTCCATGATAATGGGCAGACCTCTGCTCAAAGTTGATCGAACCAGGTGCCCCCACCTGGTTGCGGTGAGGTCGTGAATGTCGTTGCCGTTGTTGGTCATCGCTGCTGCCTTGACGTCGCAGAGAAAAAAGTGGATGACAAGTGTTGGTCGCTGTCGTGCCGCTTAAAGTGCCGAGGTGCTGAAGGTACCGGTGCGACGGCGCCATCCTGCGCAGCGCGCTGGTGGCATTCGCGAGTGACGTCGGTCATGAACGCGTTGAAGGTGAAGTCCGCGGTCGGCACTCCAGGCCTCGTCCCCGGCCTGGGGGCAGCACAGGCGGCGTCCTGGTGCACGAAAAACCACGTCTCTTTGTGTGCTTCGATGAGCATCTGGAGGATGTGCCGATTGTCCACGCGTCCGCTTACGATTCCGTTGTCGGTCATCAACTTGGCGATGGCTGGGATCACCGCCTCGGGGATGTCGACGCGGTCAAGGATGTCACTGATCTGCTCTTCCCTGGGTTCCATGCTGTAGACGAGCTGGTTGATCATTTTATGGAATGCAACTTCGAGGTCGATCATGATGATGACGAGGTCGTTCTGATGCGATCTGGCAATGTCGAAGAGTAGCCTCATGGTGATATGGCTGGAGTCGGTGCTGCAGTGCCGCCTGCCTCCTGTCTGCGTGGAAAACATCATGTCGGGAATCATATATTTCATGCACTGCCTGATGTAGCGGTAGTGGTGCTTGATGACAGCGTTGGCAACCGTGATGGATCGTTGGTTTTTGAGTGCCTCCTCTGCCCCCTTGCCCTTCCAGAAGTAGGTCATCCGCGACCCTGTGTGGGCGACGCTTCCCCTGCAGTAGAGCGCGGCCTTGGCAATGACGGGATGCACGTGCCACGCTACATCTCGCGGCGCGGCCGTCGCCAGATCGTCGGCAATGCCGTCGGGCCCAGGAGCGCGGTAAGGTTTAGCTTTCGCTAGGATGTCCCGAAGCTCGTAGATGCTGCTGAAATTGTCTATGCGCCTGCTGATGTGGCTGGCGTCGGGCTGGTGGGTGTGGTCGCATCGGTCCATCACCTGCCGCTGCGTCATGATCTCCGCCGCCTCGTTGCTACCGAAGTACTTTGTGGCTTCTGTGGCTTTAATTGTCGTGCTACGAAAAGCGTCGCAGTCCGCGGAGATCATCATGGGGCATGCTCGCTTTCTGTATTCTTCTTCCGCCGAAAATGAGCAGCTTCTTGGTGTACTTCTACTCGGTGAAGGAGTCACCTTGTTCTTTGGCCCTCATAGCTAGCTACG